AAAAAAAAAAGACTGCTGTCATAACAGGTATAACCAGAAGTCAGCATGGCAACTCGCTTAACTAGGATAACCCGTAAGCCACACATGTCAATCATCATCCACTGGGAAATCGACGCGTTTGCTCATAAAGCACTTTGATTAGTTTTGAAAACCAGCAATTGTGCGGATTGGCGCGAGGTCAGGCCAGGAGGGTCAGGCAAACCCCTGTATAGAGGTGGTTGTTATAGAGAAGTGGGTCTTATGATGAGGTTCTGCTGTGCCCAGTTAGCTTATATTGATAGAGCACCCGGAGAACCATATAATACTAATCGCTTGGAGATATTGGTACATATGCAATCAACAAGATTAATCGATCAATTCTCTCAACAACTTCCTGTCATAGTTGTCTGATACTGTGTATACTGGTTTACAAAATCAATTTCTTGTTATGAGAAGTACCATTCTTCAAAAGAAATGTTTTTCTGTCATATTAGAGATGTGTCTTAGAGTTGCACTCCTAGAATTGCACGTCTGGATAGAGACTCGTAAGTGATAGCTGCTTATTAACTTAGGTTATTCGGCCGCCTGTCAGTTATGAATGAGAACGCCGACAGTTTTTTTGGGGTCTCTCTAATATGTTGTGACCGGGTCATCCACATTCACATCCTCTCTCTTTTATGAAAAGTCTTAAATGAATGCGAAATTGTCTTCTTTTCAGTCCGCCATACTATTGAAGAAATGGACTTTCGGTGGAAGGAAGAAGAGCCGATCACACTCTTCAATGAGGAGTTGGCTGAATTCGATGTGGTTAAATTTGAAGTGGAGTCAAAAAAGGCTTCCTATGTTTCAGGTGAGGCAAAATTTGTTCTACTGTTTTTGATACCATTTTGACACTATTCCTTTGAAAAGCCTCGGGCGAGTGCTAAAGCAACAACGTTGATCGTAATGTTTGGCGCCTGAGAATCTCACTTGACTTCAGAACCTCGCTGCATCTATTACGTGCCGCCTGTTGCAAATATTTGATTACTCACTGCTGTTGAATATCATTTATTTATTCATTCATTTAGGGCGGACAAGCACAATTTCTTTTATTATGCTGAGAGCTTGCGTACCATTCAGCGAGGAATAGAATACTGCAGAAATCTCAGTTCGTTAAAAAGTTGCGAAGAGCATTTCCTAGTTTAGCAGATCACTAAATTTCAGCTTTTCTTTCTTTTTTTTTCTCGTTTCAGGAAATTACAAGAACTTGATCGTGACGTTCACGTTTCATCGCCGCATGGGTTTCTATTTCATTCAATTCTACATACCATGTATTGTGATGGTTTCCCTGAGCTGGATCTCGTTCTGGATGGATCGATATTACATCGGAGAACGACTCTCCCTCGGAGTCACGACCATACTAACGATTGTGTTCCTGCTCGGGTCCAGTAACTCGACCATGCCTCGGGTCAGCTATGCCAAGGCAATTGATTGGTATCTTCTTGGCTCCTTCATCTTCGTGTTTTCTACGCTGGTCACAGATTTACTAGTCTACAGGTTCCGTTCGAAGGAAGAATCGAGGCAGAAAGAACAAGAAGGAGAAGAAAAGGAACAGAAGGTAACAAAATTTTGATTTTTCACTTAAGTTC